GGACCAGGGAGACAGGACCCTCCTCTCCCAGGACCACCCAGAGCGTCTCCATCCCCACCGCTGAGACAGGTCCCTCATCTTCCGGGACTACTCAGACTGTCTCCACCACTCAGACACCTCTCACCTCCCTCAGGACCACTGAGGTCACTGTACTCAGAACTGAGACAGGACCCTCCTCCCATGGGGCCACCCAGAGGGTCTCCAGCGCCACCACTGTGACAGTTCCTTCCTCTCCTGGGACCACCCAGAGGACCCCCCTCCCCATCCCTGTGACAGGTCCTTCCTCCCCCTGGACTACTCCTAGGGTCTTCACCACTCTGACATCTCGTGCCTCCCTCAGCACCACGGAGAAGGTCACTGTCCCCACTCCTGTGACTGGTACCTTTTCTCCCAAGACCACCAAGGTGACAGTCCCCAGTACCGAGACAGGACCCTCTTCTCCCGGGATCACCCAGAGCCTCCCCGTCACCACCACTATGACAGGACCTTCCACTGCCAGGACCCCCCAGGGAGTCATCATGCCCACCACTGCGACAGGTCCCTCTTCTCCCGGCACCAAGCAGAGGCTCTCTATCCCCACCTCTGTGACAGGTCCTTCCTCTCCCGGGACTACTCATAGGGTCCCCACCACTCAGACACCTCTCACCTTCCTCAGCACCACAGAGAAGGTCACTGTTCCCAGCCCTGTGACAGGTCCCTTCTCTCCCGGGACCACCCAGAGGGTCTCCATCTCCACCACTGAGACAAGATCCTCCTCTCCTGGGACCACACAGAGGGTCTCCATCCCCATCCCTGTGACAGGTCCCTCTTCTCCTGGGACCACCCAGAGGGTCTCCATCGCCACCACTGGGACAGGTCCCTCCACCCCCGGGACCACCCAGAGGGTCTCCATCCCCACCACTGTGACAGGTCCCTCCACTCCGGAGACTACTCATTGGGTCCCCACCACTCAGACACCTCTCACCTCCCTCAGCACCACAGAAAAGGTCACTGTCCCCATCAGCCAGACACGTCCCTTTTCTCCCAAGACCACCGAGGTGACGGTCCCCATCCCTGTGACAGGACCCTCCTCTCCCGGGACCACCCAGGGGGTCTCCATCTCCAACACTGAGACAGGTCCCCCTTCTCCCGGGACCACCCAGAGGGTCTCCATCCCCACCACTGCAACAGGTCCCTCCACCCCCGGGACCACCCAGAGGGTCTCCATCGCCACCACTGCAACAGGTCCCTCCACCTCCGGGACCACCCAGAGGGTCTCCACCCCCACCAGTGCGACAGGTCCCTCAACCCCCGGGACCACCCAGAGGGTCTCCATCGCCACCACTGCAACAGGTCCCTCCACCCCCGGGACCACCCAGAGGGTCTCCATCGCCACCACTGCAACAGGTCCCTCCACCCCCGGGACCACCCAGAGGGTCTCCATCCCCACCACCGTGCCAGGTCCCTCCTCTCCGGGGACTACTCATAGGGTTCCCACCACTCAGTCACCTCTCACCTCCCTCAGCACCATGGAGAAGGTCACTGTCCCCACCAGCCAGACAGGTCCCTTTTCTCCCAAGACCACCAAGGTGACAGTCCTCACCACTGAGACAGGACCCTCCTCTCCCAGGATCTCTCAGAGCTCCTCCATCAGCACCACAGCGACAGGTCCCTCCATTCCTGGGACCACTCAGAGGGTCTCCATGTCCACCCCGGTGACAGGTCCCTCGTCCCCGGGGACCACCCAGAAGTACTCCATCTCCACCACTGAGACAGGTCCCTCCTCTCCCGGGACCACCCAGCGGGTCTCGATACCCACCCCTGTGACAGGTCCTTCCTCTCCTGGGAGCAACCAGAGGGTCTCCATCTCCACCACTGGGACACGTCCCTCCTCTCCCAGGACCACCGAGGAGACTATCCCCACCCCTGTGACAGGACCCTCCACTCCCAGGACCACCCAGCAGGTCTCCATTCCCACCTCTGTGACAGGTCTCTCCTCTCCTGGGAGCACCCAGAGGGTCTCCATTGCCACCAGTGTGACAGGTCCCTCTTCTCCCAGGACCACCCAGAGGCTCTCTATGACCACCTCTGTGACAGGTCCCTCCTCTCCCGGGATTACTCATAGGGTCGACACCACTCAGACACCTCTCGCCTCCCACAGCACCACAGAAAAAGTCACTCTCAACATCACTGAGACAGGTCCCTCTTCTCCCGGGACCACCCAGAGGCTCTCTATCACCACCTCTGTGACAGGTCACTCCTCTCCCGGGACTACTCATAGGGTCGCCACCACTCAGACACCTCTCGCCTCCCTCAGCACCACGGAGAAGGTCACTGTCCCCACCTCTGTGACAGGTCCTTCTTCCCCCGGGACCACCCAGAGGTACTCCATCTCCACCACTGGGACTGGTCTCTCCTCACCCAGGACCACCCAGAGGGTCTCGATCTCCACCACTGAGACAGGACCCTCCTCCCCCGGGACCAGCCAGAGGGTATCCACACCCACCAGTGACACAGGTCCCTCCACTACTGGGACAACCCAGACGGTCTCCATCCCCACCCCTTTGGCAGGTCACTCCTCTCCCGGGACTGCTTATAGGGTCCCCACCACGCAGAAACTTCTCACCTCCCTCAGCACCACAGAAAAAGTCACTCTCCACATCACTGAGACAGGTCCATCTTCTCCCGGGACCACCGAGAGGCTCTCTATCCCCACCTCTGCGACAGGTCCTTCCTCTCCCGGGACTACTCATAGGGTCGCCACCACTCAGACACCTCTTGCCTCCCACAGCACCACGGAGAAGGGCACTGTCCCCACTCCTGTGAGAGGTCCGTCTTCTCCCGGGACCACCCAGAGGTACTCCATCTCCACCACTGGGACCGGTGCCTCATCTCCGAGGACTACTCATAGTGTACCCACCATTCAGACACCTCTCACCTCCTTCAGCACCACAGAGAAGGTCACTCTCCCCACTAGCCAGACAGGTCCCTTTTCTCCCAAGACCACCGAGGTGACGGTCCCCACCACTGAGACAGGACCCACCTCCCCCGGGATCACCCAGAGCTTCTCCATCACCACCACTGTGACAGGTTCCTCCACTCACAGGACCACCCAGAGGGTCTCCATCCCCACAGCCGTGACAGGTCCCACCTCTCCTGGGATTACTCATAGGACCCCCACCACTCAGACACCTCTCACCTCCCTCAGCACCACTGAAAAAGTCACTCTCCACATCACTGAGACAGGTCCATCTTCTCCCGGGACCACCCAGAGGCTCTCTATCACCACCTCTGTGACAGGTCCCTTCTCTCCTGGGACTACTCATAGGGTCCCCACCACTCAGACACCTCTCACCTCCCTCAGCACCACAGAGAAGTTCACCGTCCCCACTCCTGTGACAGGTCCTTCTTCCCCCGTGACCACCCAGAGGTATTCCATCTCCACCACTGGGACAGGTCCCTCCTCTCCGGGGACTACTCACACCGTTTCCACCATTCAGACACCTCTCAACTCCCTCAGCACCACAGAGAAGGTCACTGTCCCCACCAGCCAGACAGGTCCCTTTTCTCCCAAGACAACCGAGGTGACGGTCCCCACCACTGAGACAGGACCCTCCTCCCCCGGGACCACCCAGAGCTCCTCCATCACAACCACTGTGACAGGTCCCTCCACTCCCAGGACCACCCAGAAGTACTCCATCTACACCCCTGAGACAGGACCCTCTTCCCCCGGGACCACCCAGAGGGTCTCCATCCCCACCACCGTGACAGGTTCCTCCTCTTCTGGGACAACCTATAGGGTCGCCCCCACTCAGAAACCTCTCACCTCCGTCAGCACCACAGAAAAAGTCACTCTCCCCATCACTGAGACAGGTCCCTCTTCTCCCAGTACCACCCAGAGGCTCTCTATCACCACCTCTGTGACAGGTCCCTCCTCCCCCGGGATCACCCAGAGCTTCTCCATCCCCACCACTGTGACAGGTCCCTCTACTCCCAGGACTACTCAGCGGGTCTCCATCCCCACCACTGAGACAGGTCCCTCCTCTCCCAGGACTACTCATAGCGTACCCACCATTCAGACACCTCTCACCTCCCTCGGCACCACGGAGAAGGTCACTCTCCCCACTAGCCAGACAGGTCCCTTTTCTCCCAAGACCACCGAGGTGACGGTCCCCACCACTGAGACAGGACCCTCCTCCACTGGGATCACCCAGAGCTTCTCCATCACCACCACTGTGACAGGTCCCTCCACTCCCAGGACCACCCAGAGGGTCTCCATCCCCACCCCTAAGACAGGATCCTCCTCCTCAGGGACCACCCAGAGGATCTCCATCCCCACCACTGTGACAGGTCCCACCTCTCCAGGGATTACTCATAGGATCCCCACCACTCAGACAACTCTCACCTCCCTCAGCACCACAGAGAAGGTCACTGTCCCCACTCCTGTGACAGGTCCTTCTTCCCCCGTGACCACCCAGAGGTATTCCAGCTCCACCACTGGGACAGGTCCCTCCTCTCCGGGGACTACTCACACCGTTTCCACCATTCAGACACCTCTCAACTCCCTCAGCACCACAGAGAAGGTCACTGTCCCCACTAGCCAGACAGGTCCCTTTTCCCCCAAGACCACCGAGGTGACAGTCCCCACCACTGAGACAAGACCCTCCTCCCCCGGGACCACCCAGAGCTCCTCCATCACCACCGCTGTGTCAGGTCCCTCCACTCCCAGGACCACCCAGAGGTACTCCATCTACACCCCTGAGACAGGACTCTCTTCCCCCGGGACCACCCAGAGTGTCTCCATCCCCACCACCGTGACAGGTTCCTCCTCTCCCGGGACTACTTATAGGCTCCCCTCCACTCAGAAACCTCTCACCTCCCTCAGTACCACAGAAAAAGTCACTCTCCCCATCACTGAGACAGGTTCCTCTTCTCCCGGGACCACCCAGAGGCTCTCCATCACCACCTCTGTGACAGGTCCCTCCTCTCCTTGGACTACTCATAGGGTCCCCACCACTCAGACACCTCTCGCCTCCCACAGCACCACGGAGAAGGTCACTGTCCCCACCCCTGTGACAGGTCCCTCTTCCCCCGGGACCACCCAGCCGTTCTCCATCTCCACCACTGAGACAGGTCCCTCCTCCCCTGGGATCACCCAGAGCTTCTCCATCCCCACCACTGTGACAGGTCCCTCTACTCCCAGGACTACTCAGAGGGTCTCCATCCCCACCACTGAAACAGGTCCCTCCTCTCCCGGGACTACTCAGAGAGTCCCCACCACTCAGACACCTCTCACCTCCCACAGCACCACGGAGAAGGTCACTGTCCCCACTCCTGTGACAGGTCCTTCTTCCCCCGGGACCACCCAGCTCTACTCCATCTCCATCACTGGGACTGGTCTCTCCTCCCCCGGGACCACTCAGAGGCTCTCTATCCCCACGCCTGAGACAAGTCCCTCCTCTCCCGGAACTACTCATCGGGTCCCCACCACTCAGACACCTCTCACCTCCCTCAGCACCACGGAGAAGATCACTGTCCCCACCAGCCAGACAGGTCCCTTCTCTCCTGGGACCACTGAGGTGACAGTCCCCACCACTGTGGCACGTCCCTTTTCTTCCAGGACCACTGAGGTGACTCTCCCCACCTCTGTGACAGGTCCCTCCTCTCCTGGGACTACTCGTCGGGTCCCCACTACTCAGACACCTCTCGCCTCCCTCAGCACCACAGAGAAGGTCACTGTTCCCACCACTGTGACAGGTCCCTCCTCCTCTGGGACCACTGAGAGAGTCTCTGTCACCAGTCCTTCCTCCCCCTTGGGAACCCAGACCACAACTGTCAAGCCAGGCACGCCCAGTGTCTCCCCAGCCGCCTCCCTGGTGACCTCCCGCATATGGACCACCCCAGCCATCTCCAGCAGCTTGCCACAGTTCAGCGTGTCCACCACAGCTCCCTCCATCCTCACCACCCTCAGGCCCACCGCCTTTTCCAGCCCACCCATCTCTACCACAGCCTGCTTCTGCCAGGCATTTGGACGGCTCTTCTTACCTGGTGAGTAGAGAGCCTGTCTCCTCCCTGTGCCCCCGCCCTCTACTCCCTCCCTGTGCGCCTGCCCTGTGGCCTCTCCTGTGACAGGTGCTCCCTCCTGCCCCCTCCCTGTGTCCCTGCCCTCTGGCCCCTCCCTGTGACAGGTGCTCCCTCCTGCCTGCTGTCTCGGGCTGACCCAGGCATGTCTCTGTCTTGGTGACTTGCTCCTCCACAGGGGACATCATCTACAATAAGACAGACAGCGCCGGCTGCCAGTTCTATGCCATCTGCAACCAGCACTGTGACATTGACCGCTTCCCAGGTGCCTGCCCCACCTCTTCACCCCTGGAGACCTCGAAGACCCCGGCACCACCGACCTCCCAGCCTCCTGGCTGCGACCTCATCTTCCCTCCCCGACAGGTGCGCTCCCCCACCTCCTCTCCCTGTTGTGTGCCCTTCAGGATCATGGTCCTGCCTTGGGCTGCTGAGGGCTCCAATTGGGCATGGCCCCTGGCACCTCACTGACCCCTCCATGGGGACCTCTGGCTGGAGGGAGGTACATTGGGTCTAGGGCCAGGGCAGCGCCTGGGGCCGGCCAGGTGGTAGCAGCAGCCCTGCCCCAGGCCAGGCGCTCAGGGCTTGAGGCCATCGGGGACCAGAGGCTGTGGCAGGGCGATGGAGTGGGTTGCCGTGAGTGCCCCCAACCCCGCTGAGCACCGTGTCGGATGTCTGCCAGGTGAACGAGTCCTGGACCCTGGAGGACTGCACGGTGGCCAGGTGTGAGGGCAAGAACCGCATCATCCTGCTGGGGCCGCAGCCGGTGGCCAACATCACCTGCGTGAACGGGCATCTGCCCGTCAAAGTGTGGAACGAGAAGGAGCGGTGCGCCTACCGCCTGGAGTGCGAGTGTGAGCAGCGGGTAGGGCGTGAATGGCCCTGGGAGATGCGCTCTCCTGGTGGCACTGAGTTGGCCAGAAATGCTGCCAGCTCGCCCACGGGAGGGGGACAGGCCTGGGTCTGCTGTAATCTCTGCCTCTGTCATCTGTCACACGACCTCCTCTGTCTCTTCTCTCTCATGAGGACACTTGTCATGGGATTTAGGGACCATCCGGTAGTCCAGGATGACCTCCTCTCGAGACCCTTAACTTAACTCCAGCTCTGAAGACCCCCTCCCCAAGTGAGGTCCCACTCGCAGACTCTGGGTGGACGTGTCTGTGGGCCACCATCGAACCCACTACACCCATTTTACAAAGGAGGCAACTGAGGCCGCGGGGGGCTGAGTGACACCCCGAGGTGGCAGGTTTGGGGTGGCGCTGGGTGAGGGGACCGTCCATGTCCCACAGGCTCCTGCAGTGGCTGGGGGGACTCCCACTACACAACGTTCGATGGCACCTCTTACTCCTTCTGGGACAACTGCACCCACGTGCTCATGAGAGAGATCCGCCCACGCGACGGGAACCTCAGCATCTACATCAACAACTACTACTGCGGGGCTGCCGCAGCTACCGCCCACTGCCCCCGCGCCCTCATTGTCCACTACGAGTCCATGAAGATCATCCTCACCACCACCACGGGCGCCAACGGGCAGGAGAAGAGCCTGGTGAGTGCTCCTGCTCCCAGAGCAGAGCCCATTTTCCCCTGCCCGGTGGTCAGCTCCACCAGGGGCCTCAGAGAGGGCAAAGGGCGTGCCAAGATGCAGGCCCCCCCAGCACAGCAACTCCTGGGAGCAGGGAAGGCCTGTGGGGGGTGCCCACAGCCGAGAGCGCCCTGAGAGGAGCAGCTGTGCTTTGGGGTGGCGGTGCAGATGAGGGGGCCCTGGCGCTTGGGAGACAGAGGCCCAAAGGCAGGCCCCACCACCTCCCGTTATGGGTCCCCCCGGATATGTCCCCAGATCCTCTTTGACCAAAGGCCGGTGGGTGAGGGCTTCAGCAAGAATGGCGTGAACGTGTCGGTGACGGGGACCACCATGATGCGCATTGACATTCCTGCCATCGGCGTGAGCGTCACCTTTGACGGGCGCGTCTTCCAGGCCCAGCTCTCCTACAGCCACTTCAACCACAACACTGAGGGCCTGTGCGGTGAGCCAGATGTGGCGGGACCTCCACCTGCTCCCCCTGCCACCTGCCCCCGGCCAGACCTGCCTCAGTAGATGGTGTTTCCTAACCGAGTGACCACCAGGGAAGTGGGGGGATGGAGAAGGGAGAGATCATGAAAGGCTTGAGAACCAGATGGTCGCGCTGCCCAGCCTGACCCTGCGGTGACCCGCCCTGTCCCTGCACTTCCCAGGCACCTGCACCAACAGCCAGACAGATGACTGCCGCCGGTCAGACGGCACTGTGGCCCCCACCTGCAAGGACATGGCCAGCTCCTGGCTGATCCCCGACAGCAGCAAGGAGAGCTGCCGGGCAGCGCCCCTGCCCACCAGCCCCCCGCCCTCCACACGTACCATGTCTGCCTCCACCACGTGCCCCCCAGCGCCCCTCTGCACACTGATGCTGAGCCAGTGAGTCCTGCCTTGTGGGTTTGGCAGTCCTGGAGCAACGACCCCCACCCTGGCCCAAGACCTGGCTCTCTGCTCTGGCCTCTGACCGCCCCTGCCCGCAGGGTCTTCGCTGAGTGCCACGGCCTCATCCCTCCTGGCCCGTTCTTCAGCACCTGCATCAGCGACCACTGCCAGGCCAGCGACCCCTGCCAGAGCCTGGAGGCCTACGCGGTGCTCTGTCGTGCCCGGGGCGTGTGCAGCGACTGGCGCAATGCCACTGGCGGGCTGTGCGGTGAGTAGGGGGTGACCGCCGGGAGCTCTGGCCTCCTTGGCCCGCCTGACACCTGTCTCTGTGCCCCCAGAACTCACCTGCCCACCTGCCAAGGTGTACAAGCCGTGTGGCCCTGCGCAGGCCGAGTCCTGTGACTCCAGGTTAGTGCTAGCCGGACGTCAGGGACAGTGGGCCCCTCGGGCCTCCCAGGCTTGTCTGGAGGGTCTGGGGGGAGCCAAGAGGGGACCCACGAAGGGTCCAGGACCCTCAGCCCAACATCTCTGGGGCTCCCTTCTCCCTCCCCGACCTCTGACCCTTGACCCCAGGGGCGGCCCTGGGCAACCAGCCAACCCCAGCCCTCCACATGCCCGCCGCCCTCCTCCCTCTGACTGCCTGCTCACAAGCATCAAGGGTCCCAGGACTGCCCTCCTCATCTTGCAGGAGCCAGAGCCCAGTGAACAAGAGGCTGGCGGAGGGCTGCTTCTGTCCAGATGGCCACATCCTCTTCAACTCCTACACGGACGTCTGTGTGCCCCAGTGCTGTAAGCCCAAGAGGGAGGGGGAGGGCCATGGGCCGGAAGACCACTCACTGTCCCGCCAGCCAAGCTCGATCTTCGGCCAGCTCTCACCCTGTTCTGCCAGCAGCGCAGTGAGGCCTGGAGCCCTGCCAAGCTCCCTCCTCTGTGACACCCCTCCAGTTCTCTGGAGCTTCTGTCCCCAGCAGGAAGACAAGGCCTCGGCTCGGGGGGTGGCCAGGCCCACAAAGACCCGTGGCCCCACCAGGCCGTGAACTCCAGCCCCGCAGTGACCCTCTTTCTCCTTCCCTTCCAGCCTGCGTGGGACCAGATGGGTTTCCCAAACTCGTGAGTGTTCTACCCCTAGCTCCCTGCCCTCCCTCCACTGGAGCAGAAGGAGGGAGGGAGCGCCCCATCCCCAGGCGGCGCCTGTAGCGGGCTGGCGAGGGGTGCCCCAGTGTGAGACATGTCCCTGTCACCCGCGCTGCTCCAGAGGTGGCAGCTTGCCGGGGAGGCTGAGGGCTGACCTGGCCACGCTGAGGGCTGGGCCCAACCTGCTGCTGGATGCAGCCGGAGAGGCCAGGACACTGCCTGGGAGCCCTAGGGGACCCTGACCTGGTCTGTTCCAGCCCGGAGAGCGGTGGGTCAGCAACTGCCAGGACTGCGTGTGCGACAAGGACTCCGTGTCGGTACAGTGTGTCCCCGTGCAGTGCAAGGCCCAGGACCAGCCCCCGCAGTGCAGCCAGGCCGGCTTTGTGACCGTGACCAGGCCCCTGGCGGACAACCCCTGCTGCCAGGAGACGCTGTGCGGTGAGCCCTGCGCCTCAGTGGCCGGGTGCGGCAGGGAGGGAGCCGAGGAGGGTGGTGGGCACAGGCTGCCTGGCTGGCAGGGTCTGCAGGGCAGAGGAGGACCACAGGGTCCTGGCTTGATGGCAGCTGGACCACTGAGGCTGGTGACTCTGGTCTGCCCCAGGACAGCCCAGGGCCTTGGGGAGGACTGGGGAGGTGACAGTGAGGGGACCTGGAGAGGGCAGCCCCCATAGGAAGAATACATCTTTGGCTCCAACCTGGGGAAACTCCATGATGCCAGGAACTAGCAGGCCAGAGAAAGGAAGCGGTGACCAGGGAAGGCAGGGGCACCTCTGACAGCGCCCTGACTCTCCCACAGTCTGCAACGTGACCACTTGCCCCCGGAGGCCACCCACATGTGGGCCGAAAGAGGAGCTGACCAGCACCCAGAATGAAGGCGACTGCTGCCCCACCTTCCACTGCCGTGAGTGGGGCTGAGGGCTGGGAATTCTCAGGGTGGGGCTGTCTCCACTTCCTCGCGTCACCCAGCAGGCGCTCAGCCCTCCCTTTCCTTCCAGGACCTAAGCTGTGCACCTACAACGGCACCTTCTATGGGGTAAGGGCCCAGTGGCCAGGCGGCCAGGCTGGGTGGGTGGCGGTGGGTGGGGCCCTTGGCTTGGCACGCTCACCATGGATTCCCCGTGTTCCTCTGGACCTCCACTCCTCGTCTCGACATGCCCAGCCCTGTCCACACCCTCCTGCCACGCGAGCAGATCAGCCAAGGGGCTCTGGGCGCTTGAGAGTCAGGTCGGGACATGGGGGTACAGGGGTGGCACCTCTGTCAAGAGCCTGGGAGAGCAGTGGAATCCACACCTTCAGAGTCTCCCAGCAGCTTCCTCCCAGCAAAAGCTTTGGGGCAGGACCATGCCCTCCATGCCCTCTCCTGCCTGCTCCAGGTCCTGCCTCTGCCCCAGGGGGCGCATCTATAATTCCATTTGAAGAAGAAAGAAACTTCTTTCTGTGGGCCTCACCTTTTCCTGACCCACCCAGCTGCAGGAAGGGGTCCTGGCCCTGATGCCCCACCCAGTGCCCTCAATGTCACCTCCCCTCACCCCGTCCACTGCAGGTTGGTGCAACCTTCCCAGGGGTCAAGCCCTGCCACACATGCACCTGCCTGTCCACGGACACACAGAACCTGACTGTGCAGTGTGAGGAGAACGCCTGCAACACCCCCTGCCCCCAGGTGAGCCCATCCTCCTGGGAAGACCCAGGCCCCACTGTGTGCCTGCCTGGTGGCAGCCTGGTGTCACCGGTACCTGGGCTCCAGGAGGGCTCTCTAGCTCAGCCTTTGCTGGGGTCTTGTTTTTTCCCAAAGGGGGGGTGCGAAGCAGGAGGAGGGTGGAGGGGGTGTGGCGGGGGCCAGGGCCTGCAGGGCACTGAGGACTGGCTTCTGGTTCCAGGAAGGCAGAAGTGGATGGAGAAGGTGCTGGAAGCAGGCGTGAGGCTAAGCTGGGACAATAGGGCTGGGGCAGCTTCTGCCTTGGAAACCCTGGGCAAGGACACAGGCGGGGGCTGCTAAGGCTGGGGAACCAGGCTAGAGGTGTGGGATGTGACCACTCCTCTGTCCCCAGGGCTTCGAGCACTCGAAGGTGGTGGGGCAGTGCTGCGGGGAGTGCGTGCAGACGGCCTGCCTCACGCCTGACGGCAGGCTGGTCCAGGTAAGGGGGCTTCGTCTCAGCCCCCAACCCGGGGGACCCTCCCAACCAGCCCTTCTCGGCCCACCAGGTAATCCCCACCCGGCCTCCACTCTCCCCCTTGCGTTTCAGCCCAACGAGACCTGGGTCAGCAGCCCCGTGGACAACTGCACCGAGTACCGCTGCCAGGAGACGAACGGGCTCCACGTGCTGATCCTGAGGCCCGCGCCCTGCCCGGAAGTGTCCAGCTGCATGGTGTGTGTCCCCCAGCTCCCGCCAGTCTGGCTGCCCTCCGCAGGCCAGCCCCACCCCGCCCCGGAGGCCCCGCCCCCAGCGCCCGTCCCCGCCCACGGCCTGCCACTCCGGCAGCCCCGCCCACACCACGCCCCAGGGGCCCACTACGGAAGCCCCGCCCACACCCCCGCACCCCGGAGCCCCCGCCCCCGGAGGCCCCGCCCCAGCCCCCCTGTGTCCGCAGGGCGTCCTCCGGAAGAGCGGCTGCTGCTACTCCTGCGAGGAAGAGTTACGTAAGTGGAGGCGCCTTCCCGCCCCGCCCCAGAGCCCCCCTGAGCACGGGCGGGGGACGCCCGGTGGGTCCTCAGACCCCTGTCCCTCCTGTCCCCGCCCAGACTCCTGCCGCGTCCGCGTCAACAGAACGGTGCTGCGGCTCGGGGACTGCACCAGCGGGGCGCCCGTCAACGTCTCCTCCTGCGAGGGCTCCTGCCCGGGCGTGTCCGCGTGAGTAGCCTGCGGGCAGTGTCCCCGTGGCCGCAGTCGGCCAGAGAGGCGGAGGAAAGGCCGTGCCGGCTCTAGGCCCAGGAAGCGAGGGGGGCGCGGGGGGCCTGCCGGGGTCGGCAAGTTTGGGCAGCTGGGTGGAGGAAGAGCGGGGTTCAGAGCGACCCTGAGCGCCGCCCCGGCCCGGAAGGAGACGCCCCGCGTGCTCAGAGAACCAGCGCGGGGCCGGCGTCTCCAGACCCCAGCACAGGAGCGGTGGTGGGCCGGCGGGCGCGTCCTGAGGGCGCTGTGTGTCCGCAGGTACTCCCTGGAGGCCCAGGCCATGCAGCGCCGGTGCACCTGCTGCCAGGAGACCAGGGCCCACGAGGAGGCGGTGACCCTGCAGTGTCCCAACGGGACAGCTGTCCAGCACACCTACATCCACGTGGACGCGTGCAGCTGCACCCCGTCCTGCGCCCCCTCGCCCGAGGCCAGCACCCCCATCCACCTGCTCTAGGGGACCACCACTGTCTGTCGCCAGTGTGCCCCCGTCCCACATGCCCTCCCCGTCTGGAGCCAGAACTTGCACCACCCAACCACGGAAACCTCGCGGGACCTGCTCCAGGAGCCCACGCACACCTTCTGTGACTCCCACTGCCCCGCCCACCTTCCACCTGCCCCCAGGTGAAACCTGTGCCCTGGAGGGGGACAGCACAGCGAGAGTCTGCTTGAGGAGGGCGCCAGCCGGGGGCCCAGCCCTGGGAGCCCCTCTGCCTGGTCTTGGTCACCTGCCCAGTCATCAGGGCCTGCCCCTCAGCAGAAACGCAAGTGCCCACTCGGCCCAGACTCACCCCTTCCTGGTGTCAGAGGGACGCCCTGGAGCAAAACCGCGTATCTATCGCTGTGCTGCTCCCCACTGCAGCCCCCACCACTCCTTGAAGCCCCATGGGGCACAAATTCCCACTGGCCACCTCCCGCAGCAGACTGCAGACTGAGGCCTATCCAGGCAAGGCGGGCTGCCTCCAAGAGGCGGCGTCAGGCAGAGTGGCTGCCTGCCGACGTCTGGACCTGGACCTGAGGCTTCGATGGCCGAGGTGTGGGCGGGGAGGGGTCGGCAACCCGAAGCACCCCCTTCTCTCACCCAGCCCCAATCTAGCAAATAAATGCTGAGCACTGTGTACAATTCCTGGTCCTGGCGTCTCTTCCTGCCGACTGTGTCCCCAGGTTCTGCCCTGTCCGTGGGGTGGGCGGCCCTAGGCTCCCCAGACTGTATAGCACCCCCAGGGTTCGTGCTGGACCCTCTGGGAGGCACAGGCGGGGTGGGGGCAAGGAGCCCCGGGGTCAGTCACGGGCTGTGGAGTAATGGCAGCAGCCAGGGATCAACCAAGGCCTCAGCAATGACCTCGCCATTATTTCAAACACACCGGGCTCATGAGGAAACTGGTTCACAGATGTAGAAAGATCAACCGAGACAACGGGGGGCCATGGAGGCAACCCAGGCTGTGTCAGTGCAGGAAGCAGCTGCCCCGTAGGCCAGGGGTGCGCAGGGCGGACAGGGTACATGAAGCTCCCTCAGACCCCGAGGGAGCTGCCCACGGCTGTCCCCGCTGCCCACGGCTGGCCCCCTCCCCATCCTGTCCACGCTTCCCGTGGTGTACTTTCTCCAAGGCTCTTGTCTCACTGGTAATTTACATTTACCGAGCTCCTGCTCCCCCGTGGGCTGGGGTCCCCAGCTCGTGGGGAAGGTGGGCCTGAGGTCTCAGTGAGGAGGGCCTGAGCTCTCTTTAGTGGCCGCTGCCAGTCCTCTGGCCTTTCCTACCCAGCTCACCAAGGTCAGAGCAGGCCACCCTGGGACTGGACCGGAGATGACCTGGGGGCTGACTAGGTCGCAGGTACACTATAGTTGAGGCTGGCCAGCCCCCTGGTTACCACTGGGGTCAACTTCTGTAACTTATGCTATGTCTCACTGTGATTTCCTGGGGTGATGTGGCCTGGTCACACCCCACCTGAGTCTCTGTTAACCCACGCACAAAACAATAGCGTTTCCTAAACCTCAGTCATTCTCACAGCATGATCATCTCCTTAAACCCGTGTACCTCTTACAAAATCTAAACGTGTCCCTGAGGTACCAGGAATACGAGTGTCACTCGCACGGACCAGAGCTCACGTGTATGAAGTGTGTCAGGGTATGTTCTCATTTAACCCTGACAACCGCCCCATGCAGTGTGAGCAACTCCTTCTCCCACTTCACAGATGGGGAAACCGAGGCACAAAGAGATGAAAAGACTTGCTTCAGGAAGGGGTGAAGCTGGGCTCAAGTCCAAGCAGTCTGACTCCAGAGTCCACTGTTGCCCTAGAGGAGGTCACTGTAAAAATCAACACAATGAATAAAACAAAACAACGTTACCCAAACTTTATTTTTAAAAAGGGATTTCTGGTTCCAGGATGGAAAACTGGACGTATCGTCCCCCACAGACACAAAAACCATGACAATGATAAAAATTTTAAAATAGCAGCAATTGAAAACAAGAAAGTGAATTATCTGTAAACCCAACAGACTTCCCAAAAAGAAGGAGGTTTCTGGGAAGCCCCAGTGGTGGGAGGGGGCCAAGGCCACAGGGCAACATTTGAATAGACAGTAACAAGGGTCTCTCAGTCTGAAGACAGGAACTCTTAGACTGAAAACACCCAATGATTGTCAAGAAAGAGAAAGAAAAAAGGCACCCATTCCTAGATACCTGGGAGTGAGATTTTGGAATATCAAGAGACAGAGAAAACCTCACAGCTGCCAGGAAGACACAACAGCTTACCTACAAAGGAATAAGAATTAGATCGCCAGCAGGCTTCCCATCAGTGACACCAGAGGCAAGGACACTGTGGCACAATATTTGCAAAGTGCTAACTTTGAACGCTTAATTCTATACCCAACTAAACTATCATTGAAGAGTGACAATGAAAAAAAGACATTTTGGACGGACAAGGACTCAGAAAGTTGACCTCCCAGACCCTCTGGGAAAGAGCAACTAGGGGAATCTGAGCTCCAACAAGAAACGGTACTCGTCACATCCAATGTAGTAGCATGCAGACAACCGTAAGCCAGAAAATCAGAAACACACACGTTACATCCAAACAAGAAGCAAACCTCACAGGAACCAACAGATCAAATACAGAAGTTCATAATTGTAATGGGCCAAATTTATCAGTATTTTTCTTCATGGTTAGTGTTTCTTGGTCTTATTTCAGAAAACTTTCCCCACCCTGGGATCAAAAATATGGTCTTCTGGATTATGTTTTTAAAGTCCTACAGTTTTGCCTTCTGCCTAAATTATTTTTATTGTGTAAAAATACATATAACATGAAATTTACCATCCTAACCATTTTTAAGTGCACAGTTGAGTGGCATTAAGCACATTTACAATTGTTGTGCAACCGTCACCACCACCCGTCTTCATAATTCTTTCCATCTCCCCAAATTGAAGCTCTGTTCTCATTAAACACTAACTCTCCACTCTCCCCTCCCTCAGTACCCACCATCCTACTTTCTGTCTCTATGATTTTGACTACTCTAAGTACCTCATGTTAAGTGGAATCATGCAGTATTTATCCTTCTGTGACTGGCTTATTTCACTCAGCATAATGTCCTCATGGTTCATCCATGTGGTAGCAGTGCCAGAAGTGCCTTCCTTTTTAAAGCTGAATAATATTTCATTGTCTGGATAGACCAAATTTTGCTTATCATTCATCCATCAATGGACACTTGGGTTGCCTTTACGTTTTAGAGCTATTGTGAATACTGTTGTGAACACCGGTGTGCAAATATATCTTCAAGACCCTGCTTTCAATTCTCTTGGGTATATACTCAGAAATGGAATTGCTGGGTCATATGGTAATTCTATGTTTAATTTTTTGAGGAACTGCCATACTGTTTTCTTTTCTTTTCTTTTTTTGTGAGGAGGATCAGCCCTGAGCTAATATTCGATGCCAATCCTCCTCTTTTTTGCTGGGGAAGATTGGCCCTGGGCTAACATCCATGCCCATCTTCCTCTACTTTATATGGGACACTGCCACAGCATGGCTTGACAAGTGGGGCATCAGTGATCGCAGGGATCCAAACCTGCGAACTCCAGGCTGCTGAAGCGGAGCTCACGCACTTAACCACTGTGCCACTGGGCCGGCTCCCTGCCATACTGTTTTCCACAGCGGCTGAAGCATTTTACATTCCCACCAACACTGCACAAGGGTCCCAATTTCTCCACATCCTCACAAACACCTGCAGTTTTCTGAGAGTAGCCCTCTTAACGGGTGTGAGGTCCTATCTCAGTGTGCTTTTGATTTGCATTTCCCTAATGATTAGTGATGTTGAACATCTTTTCACATGCTTATTGGCCATTTGTATGTCTTCTTTGGAGAAATGTCTATTCAAGACCTTTGCCCATTTTTGAATTGGATTGGTTTGGTTTTTTGTTGTTCAGTTTTAGGAATTCTTTATATATTCTGGATATTAATCCTTTATTAGATATATGATTTGCAAATATTTTCTCCCATTTTGTGGGTTGTCATTTTACTCTGTTGATACTGTCTTTTGATGCACAAAAGTTTTTAATTTTCATGAAGTCCAGTTTGTCTATTTTTTCATTTGTTACCTGTGCCTTTGATGTCATATCCAAGAAATCATTGCCAAATCCAATGTCATGAAGCTTTTGTCCTATGTTTTCTTCCCAGAGTTTTATTATTTTAAGTCTCACATTTAGGTCTTTGATCCGTTTTGAGTTAATTTTTGTGTATGGTGTTATGGAAGGGTCCAAATTTATTCTTTTGCATGTGGATGTCCAGTTTCCCCAGCACCATTTGTTGCAAAGACTGTGCTTTCCCCATTGAATGGTTGACACCCTTGTCAAAAATTATTTGACCGTATATGCAAGATTTCTGGGCTCTCTATTTTATTCCATTGGTCTATATATCTGTGTTTATGCCAATATTGTAGAGTTTTGATTATTGTAGCTTTATAGTAAGTTTTGAACTCAGGAAGTGTGATATCTCCAGCTTCGTTCTTCTTTTTTGACATTGTTTTGGCTATTCACAGTCCCTTGAGATTCCACATGAATTTTAGGATGGGTTTTGCTATTTCTGCAAAAAACGTCATTGGGATTTTGACAGCAATTGCATTGAATCTGTAGATCACTTTGGGTAGTATTAACATTTTAATAATATTAGGTCTTCTAATCTATGAATGTGGGATGTATTTCCATTTATGTCTTCTTTAATTTCTTTTGGCAATGTTTTGTAGTTTGTTTTGTAGTTTTCACTGTACAAGTCTTTCACTTTCTTGGTTAATTCCTAAGTACTGTATTCTTTTTGATGCTATTGTAAATGGAATTGTTTTTGTGATTTTCTTCTCCGATTGTTCATTGTTTATTTACAGAAATGCAACTGATTTTTGTGTGTTGACTTTGTATCCTGCACCTTTGATGAATTCATATATTAGTTCTAACAGTTAAGAGTTTTCTACATATAAGATCATATC